GAAGCCTATTAATTTTTGACATGTCATTTGGCTGCTGAATATTCTATTCTCATCCTCTGCTGTGAAAACAATCGCACAGCCCTCAGTTTTTTAAGTTACTGAGAGGCTGAGTTTGCAGGGACAAGCAGCCAAACACTGTGAAAAAGAAAGAGCTGCTCCAGCAGTGAGGCTCTTTCCTGCCACTGAGGATGGCTAATGGTGTTGTAAGATGCAAGTCCAAAGGCAGTATTTAATTTACAAATAAAACCATTTCCCTCAAACACACCTGGAATATACCCAGACAGCTGAGTTTTCCATGCGAACGTTATCTCAGGCCACCCCTCAGCATCAACTAAAACCAGAGCTGCACAAACTTTGGCTGCTGGCAGACAGCACCCTGCAAGCCATATCTGCCCTCTGTTCCCACTCGTGGCACCTGCAGCCCTTGCTGCTTCATTTGGGTTGCCAGCAAGCAGAAGAGGTCCGAGGGGCACCCCAATGGTCAGCTCCAGGGGGAAGCCCCCTGCCACAGGGGCTCAGCATGTGGCCAGGAGTAGTTGGAAAGGCAGTGGGAGTGAACAGCCTTGCTCAGACACTTCAGTGAGTGGAATCCAAGGAGCTGGGAAAGGACGGGTGACTTTGTCTTTGGCATCATACAGGATAGTGTCAGGGAAGCTGAACAAAATACATCACATGCCTATTCTTACCCCGATCTTATTTTTTTTTAATTCAATTATTGCTTTCAACATTTCTTAGTATGAATTTTGGTGTGAGGGTGATCTTTTGATTAAAGTCTACATTTTACATGCAACTGCATCCTGTGTTTTGCTCAGACTTCAGCTTTTCCGTAGAAACAGCACAGGCCGTCTCCGGGCGAGTGACTAATAGCTAAAAACTGCACACTGCTGGGTCCCTTCCAAAGGCTCTGTAGGACTTGTTTTATAATGTTTGTGGGTTTCGAGAAGTAAACAATAAAATGGGACAAACAACTGTTGTCTCTTGCCCCTGTTTATCTAGCTGAAAATACCTCTGCCGCTCCACTGTGCCACAGCCTATGGAACAGTTCAGCTAAAGCCAGCAGGTACTGAAGTACACCGCAGGTGACACAAGTGATGCTCTTACTGCGACTGCAATACTTAAAATTTCTTTTTCATTGGCCTCTTGTTCATGTATTGAGCCTCATACGGCGGGGCTCTGGCCACTGCCAGCTGCCCCAGCAGTTCGGCACCCACAGGCTGCTCTCAGGGTTTAGTTGGTGCCTCTGAGTGAGACCCAGTGCCATCTGCACATACCCACGCATCTTCAAATACATTTGATAAAATATAAATGCTGTTAAATATCAAATCAAGAGACAAAAAAAATATTAAATTCAAGATATGGGGAAGTAATAAATTATTTGAGCAGCAGAAACAAAACACACTTTTTGTAGCACTGGTGGCACTTGAAGCTTTCGCTGTGCAATTTCCCAGGCAGGAGCTGAACCCAGGTTCCCTGCAGGCAGCTGGACCCTCACAGCCTTCCCATCGAGCACTGCTCACTGAAATGCCTTTGAAAGTACACTGCCTTACCTGGATCTCATCACTGGGCCTTTTCCTAGCCCCAGTGCACTGCTTTTACACGGCCACTTTAAAACCTGACTGATCTGGGCAGCTTGCTTGCTTCTTAGGAAATCATACTGATTACGTTGCAACTGCAACTATAGATTAAAATGAAAGTTTTCTTAAAGAAGGGGCAAAAGAGATCCAAGATTTGTACTGATGACTAATTGACACACAGGTCTGGGGGGTTGTTTTGTCGTTTTTTCTGTTTTGTTTTTTAACTACAGAGTAAAGCACATTTTTAACAAAACCACCACTGGAATTCATCGAAAGAACAGAGGCAACACGAACACTGTTACCCTTAAGGGAAAAACAAGCCGAAGAATGGAAATGTTTTTCGGCTTTATGATGAATTATGTTCCTAATAGTTTTGCCACAACAAAGCGCTTCACTGAGATGCCAGCTTTGTGCCAGATCAGGACACATACAGGATTATTTTAATAAGCTCTACAAGAGAACCGACATTGCCAGATGAGATACAGGATGAAAAAAAAAAAAAAAGGGCTTACTTGTTTTTCAAAAGCAGTTGGCACCAGCCGCCTCAGCTCAGATAAACTGTTATTTATACGATCCCGGCGCCTTTTCTCTATAATCTATTCCCAAAAACAAAACACGGTAAGTTTACAGAATTGCTGAAGGGCAAAATTACAGCACGCACACAAATTGTCACATGGGAAAAGAACGAAAGGACACGTACCCCTCTTCTTTTCTTTCTGGCCATAATCTGAGATGTTGTGGTTGGGGAATTTGGTCGAAGCACAGAACTATGGCTTTGCCTGGGAAATGACAAAAGTACATCAGGTGTTGCACAATGTGACACACTGCTCTCTGAAGACACCTTAGGTTGCCCTACTGAGTACCCATAGTGCCCTCTCACGTTGCTTAGGACACACTGGGTTTTCAAAGAGACATTTTGTTTTGGATTGGCCCAGCCAAGCGGATTGCTCTGTGAACTGCCAGAATCCCCTGAAAGGTCCTCTCTGGAGATGGTTCACTGTCCAGCACAGGTTTCATTTTCATTGTATCTAAAATCATGCCTACAAATACAGTCCGTAGAACTGCATCCAAAGGAAAAAACATGGACCACTTTTACATGATAGCTGGAATAGATGATTTTAGAGGCCTTTTCCCACCATAATGATTCCATGCCTCTATGCTACCAGCAAGATGCATACCATGTTACAGGCCCGGCCAGGTTTTGTCATTCCTGTCACCTCTGTGGTCAGGGGGCACTCATGCAGGAGGGCAGCGCCCTGCCAACACCTGCTGCCTCCTCCAGCACAGTACTTTTACAATCTGCTTTGCAAACTGCACTGCCTATAGCTACAGAAGGGTCTCAACCTCATCACATACAGGCAAAACAAGCGCTTGCTGTTTGACTGTCCCCAATGATGGGGACAAGCCGGGGCACAGTGGCCGTATCACTGCGTTGCTCTCATTGGCCCTCAGACTCGAGTTGTCCCTGCAGAGTCCCCCCCCCGACACTTTCCCCTCCCTCCCCCCCCCTCCCCCGAGTCCATCTCCATCGGCTCACAGCGGGGTTTGCTGCTGTTCCCATCCAACCACCGGACCCACAGGTCATTTCCTACTGGCGCCGATTCAGTTCGGTTGCTCGGCCCCGATCGGGAGTGACTTCGCGAACAGATCCGACTGCACGCAGTGCATCACGCGGGGCTGCCGGGCCGGCACTGCCCCGAGCCCCAGGCGGCGCGGGGGTTCCCAGAGAGCTGCGGGCTCCGAGTGGTGCCGGGGATCCCGGGGCAGCCCACGCTCCCGACATTCGGGATGCTGCCGTTACGGAGTGTAGGGTTTTCGTGCCCGGGGTTTCGGCCCTCGGCGCCCGCGCGGGTGGGACTGGGCGGGAGGGGGGTGATGTCTAGGAGGTGGGTCCCGCTTACCCGCAGTAGTTGTTCTCGCTGCCCACATCGATGGTCTCGTCCATGTCGCTGTCTGAGGTAGTTTCCTCGCAAGGTCGCTTCATCGCGGCTCAGCCCGCAACCGGCGTGGGGCAGAGAGAAATAAATCCGGACGGAGGCTCCGGCACGGCACGGCACGGCACTCACCGCACCGCCAGCAAAGCGAACCGTCTCTGAGACGCTTTCCCACGCCGCGGCACAGCCTCAAGCGCGCCGGCCCGCCCCCGGCCAGGCCCGCCCCGTCGGGAGGACGGGAGGGAGGGAGGCAGGGCGGGGGCCGCCCACCCGGGAGACGGAAAAAAGTCTCGGCCGAAGGTGCCGGGATCCGCGAGGAGAGGTAATGGGGCTCCCGGCCTTGGGAGGGGACGAGGGGGTGACCCTCGGACCGTACCCCCGCCCCGTCCCGCGGGGCCCGGCGGTGGCGGCCGGCCGGGAGCGGGGAGAGTGGGCGCCGGGGGGGCCGGAGCCGGGAGCCGGCGGGCGGCGGCACTTTGCCCGGTGCCCCCTGTGGAGCGTCGCTGGGCCGGGGGGGAGGAGGGGGGACGCAGCGCTCGGGTGCAGGTGGCTCTGCGCGGTGCTGGAGGAGAAGCCAGCGGCAGCCCTATTTCCTTCCCTCCGTGCAGGCAGTGATTATCGGTGGCACGCCGGGCGCAGGCTCTTCGCGTGGCTGTCGCTGCTGTGTCGCCCTTCGCACGCCCGCGGTACCGTCAGCGGGAGATGCACGGTCGCTGGGACGCAGCCGAAGCGGAACGGCCGCGGGAAGGGCCGAGGCGGCTCGAGGGGACTCGGAACGCGTTCCCCACAGTGGCCCCTTTGATGGTATCTGAGCAAAAAAACAACCAAACCAAACAAAAACAAATAAGGACGGGGACCGCTCGGGAGAAAACGATCCGCGGCGAGAACAGCCTGCGGCAGCCGGCTGCCGTACCCGTGCCCTCTGCTGGGGCTGCGGCTGCCGCAAAGGACCGTGCGGCGCTCCCGAGACGGGGCGGGAGGCGGGCGCGCCATGCCCGTTCTCGGGGCTCCGCACGGGCATCTGCGGATCAAGCGTCAGTGCCGCTACAGCTGTAATGATGCGTGCTTACTCTGGGCATAGTTACGGCTGCTTTACGATTTTTCTCTCTCCCTCTCTCTTTTTTTTTTTTTTTTCCCCCCTGGGGCACAGTTCTGCCGTGCTTTTCTATACAGAGAAACCCGAGCTGTCCCGTGCTTACTTCCCTGAGCCAGGCTGATGTCAGGGCTGTGCGTCGTGGAACCGGCTGCGAAATCCTCCTGACAGCCCTGCTGGGGTCTCCTGGAAACCCCCAACGCTAAGAGGCCCCTGCTGCGCCCAGCTTAGGCAGGTTCATTTGGTTCTTTTTCTTTCTCTCTTCTTTCTTGTTTTTCTTTTTAATCTTTCTCTTTTTTTTCTCTCTCTTTTATTTCATTCTTTCCCCATTTCTTTTCATTTCTTTTATTCTTTTTTTCTTTTTTTTTTTTCTTTTCTTCTTTTCTCTCTCTCTCTCTCTTTTTTTTTTCCCTTCTCCTTTTTTCTTTCTTCCCATCCCCGACCCACCCGTTCCCCGGGGGCCATTTTGGGCCGCACTCTCTGCCAGTCCCCACCCGGTGCCGGCAGCAGGTGCGCGGTGGGGGCCATGCAGGATCTGCGGGCTGCAGCCGCTGTCTGCGCTTTCCGTCATTGCCGGGCGGAGAGAGGTGCTGTGATGCGCGTCCCTCCACTGCAGAAAAGCAGGGTTTCTCTGGGTGTTTGCTTGCAAAAGAATTACCGCTCCTGAGCAAGTACGGCTCACAGGCTCGCGTTAATGTATCCCTTCCCGTTCTCCAGCGCTTTTCCCCCGGAGGTAACAGCCGCAGAGCACTGCTATGCTCGGAGCCGCGGAGCCCCCGGGCGGCCTCAGGGGGTGCGGGGCGGAGACTGTGCACCGGTCCGGCGTCCGGCATCGCTCCGAGCCGCTCCCCGCCGGGGGAACGGTGCTCCGCGATGGCTGCTTTTTTTTTTTTTTTTTTTCTTCTTTTTTTTCTCCTCTTGTTTTTTATCCCCCAGTTTTCCCTCTTCAGAAGTGCGGTGCGAATGAAGGCTGGGGCAGGGCAGCCGCTCCGTGCATCCGCGGGAGCACGGATCCCGCTGGCCTGGAGCTCTTCTAGAGATTCTGGGATTGCTCCTTTCAGACAGTGGGGGACGTGTAAGGTGCAGTAGTTGGGCACGGTGTCCCGACAGAGCAGCAACTGTCACCCAGCAGCTCTGTGCCACGGCACTCAAGATTGTTCTGAGCTTCCTTATGGCTCTTAAAACTTCAGTCTTAGAGTTGTTTCTTGTATTTTACCATCTGACTTCTAAACAAACGCATCTAATTTCCTACACACTGTGAGCAGCCCCATATGAGTAACTGTTCTGCAGCTTTTATTTTCTCTTACTGGGAAGCTTTCAGAGCAATAGAGGAAGACAGCTGTGGCTGAAAACAAGGAATCTGTATTTTCTTCCTACTGATGGACTCATTGGTAACTGCTGGTGAAAGCTGAAAAACAAGAAAAAATACTGTTTGGTTTTTTTTTTCCCCCACCTGATTTGGTTCTAACTAAAAGTTTGAGGTGATTTCTAGCCAGTCACACCAAGGTGGCTCTGACAGATTGAGGAAAGAGCAGAGAACCGAGGAAAGCATGTGTTGCGAATGTGAGAGAAATAAAAGTAGAGACATGCAGCATTGCCGGGACCGTGTGTGGGGGTGTGCAGCCTTCGTCCCGGTTCACAGCGAGCATCCTGGCAGCGAGCTGCCTGCAGGGCTCCTGCCAACAGGTCTCAATGGGGCTGAGCCTTCGGTATCTGCTGTGGGGCTGCAGCCATGAGTGTGCAGTGATAGAGCTGTGCTGCCTCGGCGGGCTGCGCTCACAACCACAGATTGTTTCATTTTACTTCAGTTCTGGGAAGTATAAAAATTGCACAGAGACTTGCTGTAAGAAAACACAATGTCAAGCTGATGATGAGTTAAAAAAAAAAAATCAAGGAAGGGAAATACAGTGAGTATTTTTAAATCCTTCGCAGTGACATCTTTCAGTGGTTATCACTGAGTCGCACCTCTGCAGATGTGCTCTCGATGAAGCCAGTTATTGGGTTTTCAGGCTGTCGACTGAAAGCACAGCTCCACGTGCCTTGCAGTTTGCATTGCCCACCTTTTGGTGCCTACAGAGATCAATGAATGCACTCTCCCGGGTCGAGTGCTGCCTCCTGGCCCCCAATCAGTAGGTGTCCCTCGTTTGTGCGGTCCTCCCGTTAAATGCATGAAATGCTTGAGCAGTCACTGCTTCCTAGGTGATGGGGAAGGGCAGAATGTCCTCTGGCTCTGGGCTGTGCAGGATGGTAATGACGAGGATAGCGGGACGGCACCCTTGGGCTGCTGGGGCACAAACCCTGCAGGCGTGAGCCTCATCCTTCCCTCACACCTTTGCATGCTTCCTCTGTGAGCTCGGGCACTCAGACCAATTAATTCCATTAACAAAGGGTGTAAATTAGAAGTGTCTGTGAACTGTATTGAGCCTCAATTTGCATGGTCTTATTCACAGCAAAAGTGGCTGCAATTTGATTTAAATTAATTCACTTTCAGAATAAAATAACACTGAATAGAATAAAAGCAGCTTTAGTTTTGAATGGTTGTCTGCATAGAATTGTTTGTGGTTTAACTAATTCACTTCAAAAATTAACTCTTATTAATTTTCGTGGGCTTTTCCATCTAGGTTAGCTTGCTTTGTCTCTTTCTTTCAGTCTTCTATCAGTAAAATGGAGATAGTAGTAGCCTGCTAACATTTTAAAATTGCTGTGTTGAATACTCTTGGTAACTGCAGCATTTTGCCTTCCGCTCGGTGCGTAGGTTTCTCAAAAGCCAGGACTTGATTTTCTACACGTGTAGAATTCTTGCCTGGCAGCGTTTTACAGGCTCTGTACGCGGCCGTACGTGGCCACACAAGACAGATAGCAGTGGGGAATGAAGGCTTTGCTGTGCATTTTGAACTCTGACCAAACATCTCCTTGGCTTTGGTTCCCTGTTTTCTTCAAAGACTGTGGGCCAAGACTTAAGAACTGTCTAACTTTTGTCATCTTAATGAACGGCTTCAGTGGTGTTAATGGGAACTAGGGCACTTTCTTTATTAATGGAAATCAGGCCACTTAATTACTTAACAGAAATGCACGTAACCTTGTCTCACTGTTTTCTGTACTTCATGAATTGTGAACTTTAATCTGTTTTAGAGAAAGCTCTCCTAAAACGGATGAAGCTGTAGCAGGTATAAAATTATCTTTTTATAATGGAAATGTTTATTGTAAAAATGAACACACAGGCATAACTTTCTTATTGGAAATCCACTGCTATTTAAATCTGCAGTGATGCAGCATGGTTTGACTAAGTTGTGGTGTGTAACTACTGAAAGGCTGGATGAACGCACCAGCACATCTTCTGTCAAAAATGGGAACTCTGAAATATTATTATTTTTTTTAAATCAAAGCTTGGTGGGTTTTGGACTAGAGGGATTCTTTTATTTCTTCCCATTCCTCCCCCCCATCCTACTGTTTGCTTCAACATTTTCCTTTCTTGCTTGAGTGGTTTCACTCCAAGTGGGGCTTCTTTTGTGCCTTTCAGTTGCCAGAAACTGGAGAATTGTCATTATTTGAATTTTGCTGTTGGTTGTTTTTTTAAAATAAAAACCAAGATGTTTTCCAGAGAGTTAGGAAGGAACCAGTTCTCAGAAAGTGCTAAGGAAACAGTAGTGGCTTTAGCTGAGTTTTTCTATATGAGAGAAAAGTATAAATCATCTTTAGGCTTCAAATCTAGCTGTTAATAACGAAGCACATCACCTAATGCTCTAAAAATACCCCTGTATATAGACTATGCATACAACAAAAATAAGCAACCCTAGATATCCTGGCAAGATCTGTGGTATTTTATTTCACTTCCTCAGTAACAGTAGTCATTGTTGGCACCTGGAAATGACTGTGAAAATACAGATCCCTGTAAAGCTGGGTAAATAAAGGGACGCGCTCCACTTCTGCTTGTCAGTAGAAGTGGACTATGACGTCTGACAATTATTAATGAAAATATTTTCTCAATCTCTGCCATAAAGAATGCAGGGGCAAAATAAATCCTTGGTAAAATCTGTTCCCAAAATAAGCCAGCATAAATGCAGTTCAGAGCCGGAGACTTCCACCACCACAGAATTTAGTTAAGGATCTTAAGACAAAAAGGTAACCTGTTTTTCAATGAACTCAAAGTTACAAACGCTGGCATGAATGTGTGTCCATGAAGAGAACCGCCATCTTAAACAGCAGAAAGTTCCCTTTTGTCCATCAGTCTTTTTCAGAGGGAAAGAAAATGCTGTTGTCTTGGTTGTCCTCAGCATTGTGTATTAGAATTGCCTGCTCTGAAGCAGGACTTTCTCTGATCCTGTAGTTAACATTGCATCTGATCCTGCTGAGCTTAACTAGGAAACCTTGTGTTGACTGAATATAGCTTTTGCTTGAATAAAGAAATTGAAGAGCTCTCTGGAGGAGCTGGGCCTAATTCCAATTTTCTTCTCAATTCTAAAATGAAAGGATGCTGTCAAGGTATTTGTGATTTATGGGGGCAAATGTGTTTCCTTCAAAATCTTGTATCGCTTTGGCAGCAGTTTAGTTTAACATCTTTTCTGACTGATTTTATTCTATGTACCTTTTCAGTTTATGCAGGATAAAATAATAAAATAAATGTGTCCTTTATTTTAGAGGAAAAGAGATAAGACTTTCTCTCTGGGAGGAAAGCTCGCTCTCGCCAGGGTTCTGAGGACACGTCAGGCTAATTGTTGGTGACTTTTAAAACTGCTCTTTGTGGTGCAAGAGACGAAACATTCTGTGTAGACTGAAGGCTTTCCAAAACGCTAAATGCTTTCTTTCGCTTGGTAAGTTGTTTCTTCATGTGTTTTATTTCCATGGCAGATGTTAACCAAGGGACGTGAAATTCCTGCCAGAGAACGCACTGCTTTTGGTGCTCACAGGGCTGCTGGTGCTCACCTTTGACAGAAGCCAAGGCTCTGTGTTGGGACTTGAGCCATCCCAGCTGTGGGGCTCGGGGTCCTTCATAGCCCTGCTGCCTCCTCGGCCCCACTGCCTGTCAGCACTCCTGCTGCCTCCACGCTGCGGAGGCCTGGTGTTGGCGGTGTCATAGACGCTCTGTTCCACGTTTCCTCTGTTGCTTTGTTTGTCACCATGGAATGTATTTTTACTGAAGATTTTTAGCTTCCTTTTTTTGAAGCTTTTTTTTTTTTTCTTCTTCCAAACCATCGCTCCTGACTGTCTGCAGGCCCTGCTCCTCAGCCTTTTTTCCAGCTTTTGATGTCCCTTAATTTTCTGCTACTCTTGGAGAGGCACACTCCAGCTTTGCTCCCTTCTTTCTTCCTGCACCCATCTCTGGGTCAGGCCCAAGGACATCCTGAGAACAGCAGCTCACAGAACTTGCTTTCAAGCAATAACTTCTCCCCAGCCATGCAGGGGTCTTTTACATCTTGTTTTGGTAGGCTCTCACACTTCCCTCACTACCTCTCTGGTGTTTGGCCTTTACACAGTCAGTTGATCTTTTCTTCCCCTTCCCTAAACCTTTTGTCTCGCCTGCTTCCTCAGAGGTGGCTGACAGCATCAGTTCTTCCAGCGTTGATGGATTTTAATGCAGGTGTCCTCTCTGCCTTCTTATTTGCATAGTCAGGAAGACTGCATCCTAGTGTGGCTGGCAGGTCTTCCTACCAGAGCAACAAGTACTTTGACTCTCCTGCTAGATAGACAAGACTTTGTGGAGGCTTCCCTCCAGCTTTCCATGGACGTTCTCCCGTCTCTGCTTCTGGGCTGTTCAGCTCACCATTCTGGTTAACAGCTCTGACCACATCACTGCTGGCATCTTCATTCCCTCCTTGGCCCTTCCCGGCCCTCCCCTTCCTGCATCCCTGCCTTCTGCCTTACCACACTCTCTCCTTCTTTCTCCTGCTGGTCCACTAAAGCCAGATGTATCTGCCCTCCTTCTCTCCCTGCTAGTGCATCTCCTGTAATGCCTTCATATTTCTGGGGGGTCTAACTGCAGGCACTGCAAACCTGGGTATTTACTAGATATGCCCATATCCATAAACTTCCCAAAATTTCACCTCATCCTTGGATCTCCTGGTGGCTGAGAGTCCCACATTGAGGTACTTCACACGTGGTTTTATTGCAAGGTGACCTTTCAGAGTACCGGCACTTGGGCTTGATCAGGCGTCCACCTCAGTAGATGAGTTGACACAATCAGTGGGGATTTTTTGCTCCTGATAGGGGAATTCCAAGCACCAGCTGCAGCCCTGAAGTCTATCAGGGAGGAAAGAGGTGAGAGGGATGAGCTCCCTGCCTCGGGTGGGGATGAAGGGTGAGCAGAAGTAGAATGTTTCCCACATGGACTCTTTGTTGAGGAAATGGGCTGACAAACTTTCCTGCTCTGAGGGGCAGCCCTAATAGTAATAACAAGGACAATTGCTGCTATTCCCTGTAGAAGTGGGATTATCACTCAAACTAAGTGCAGTGCCAATCTGAAGTAAGTCAGTGCTTTCACAATGGGTACAAACCACTCCGATGTCCCCCTTCTGAAGACAGGTTCCCAGCACAGCTCCCGTGCTCAGGGTGTGGTTCCATCCAGTGTGCTGCTTTTCCTGTGGTTTCAAAACTGCCAGAGAACATGTGCTTCATGTGTTCACCTAGAGTAGCCCACCCAAAGATCATTACTTTTGTTGTTAACTGACCTATACTTCATTTGTTCATATACCAGAAAATAAAATAGCATAAATTATTTGGATGTAATGTCTTAGTTTCAGCTGGCATTGAATTGTTTTCTTCAGAGTGTCTGGTGTGATGCTGTGTTTTGATTCTAGAAGGAAAACAATGTTGATAACTCACTGATGTTTATAGCTGCTGGTAAGCAGTGTTATACAGACCCAAGTCCATTCTTAATGAAGGGCCCAAGGAGCTGAAAGGAAACAGAATTAGGACTGCTGACTTAAACTGGCTGAAGAGATATTCTGTATCGTATGACATCAAGTGGAAGGAGTTACGAAGGGGGGTGAGTTCATCTCTGGCCCCCACTGCTGCCTGGGGGGCTAGCTGGGCAAGAGTGGTGAGCAATTGCTTGTGCATCACTTGTTATATACATTCATGTGTGTATATATATATACACACATACACACACATATTTATATGATCTTTTCCCTTTTCTCTATCTTAGTAAATAGTTCAAGCTCAATCCATGAGTTCTACTTTGTTAGTGATTCTCTCCCCCATCTCACTGGGAAAAGTGGGAGTGAGCAGATGGCTCATGGTGGTGCTGAGCCATCTGCTAGGTTAAACCACAACACTTAGATTTTCAACGTCACTCTTCCAAATAGAGGTTCTCCAGGAATCTTAACTTTCTGCTAGTTACAATGAACTCAGAAGAGAAAAACAGCTAACAGACCAAATACAAAGAGGAAATGCTAGCAGTGCATTGCAGTCAAAAGAAAGAATGACAGAGCTGGTTGGGCCATTGATTTCTTCTATATTGATCATAAATGGTAAGTAAGCAGACTACTGTAGAGATGCTAAACAGAGCATGTGAGATTATTTAAAATTTAGAAGACCTGTAATAGCATTGAGGAAATGAACGCGACAGAAAGGAACCTTGGAAGGTCAGCAAGCAGATTAAATGCGGAAACAATACAGACCAGTTCATCTAGTAAAACACTGACCAAGGCATAAAGTGAAACATGGGAAGTGGGAGCACATTACAGCAAACAGATGACCCCAGTGTATTTCTCATGCAGAAAACTATGAAGTGGCTGATGCAGCTCAGTTGATCAAATGGCCATGTACCTCAGGGCAAGCCTGCACAGATAGCACAGGAGTAAATCCTCACAATACCTGCAGTCACTACTACATCAGTAAGAAAGACAACAGTGCAGATTAGGCAATCTGCTATGTGTTTCGTATTGCTCTCCTTTTCTCTTTCAAATCACAATTTTTTGATTTAAAGCACGAGGTTTTTACAGGGATCAGATTTCAAAATGAGAAATATTTTGATGTGATAACTGTAGAGAGAAAGTGGAGTTTCACAGCTGTGAGCAGTTGTAGAACGAAGGGGGTGTATCCACGTTCCATTTTATTACCTGTTTCTTGGTTTTCCCTTCCCAATGGGCACTGAGAGCATTTGCTTTTACATGTGTGCCCAAACAGACTCAGGATCTGTAGCTGAGGGAGAATTTAAGCCCTTCAAAATGACTGGAAGAACCTGCTGAGTTAACTTTTAGTGTAGTCAGTTTTGCAGTTTGGGGTTGGCTGGACTTCTGATGTTTTGCTGGGGTTTCATGGTTACTGGCAAAATGACCAGAGAAGTATTTCACAGAGTCATCTAAAGGAGCAAAGAAAACATCCTAACAGAAGGCATTCCAGCAGATGACTTAACTTTTAAAAATCCATTTTGAAATTTGTGTATATAACTCTACATTGTACACAAAATTGTAGCAGAAAACCCGCTTCTGATTTCTCTTTTCCTACATCAGTAAGTATATTGCCCAATAAAGGTATGTTCAAATATATTTTGTAAGAGATACTATAAGCCTAAGAGTATAAGGAGTGACAAACACTTGTTCTCAAAAAATGGTGTAACAGATTTGATGCTATTTTGTAGTTCATTGTCTGACTAGTCCATGTAATGTCTCATTTAAAACCTTATGTTTTGCCAGTAGGATTCTTTTCACTGAGCTCTGTATAAGTATGTCTGTATAACTTTGTTATTAATTACTTCATTAACCATTAATTAAATTGATACATAGTGTTTAAAGTCTGCATCTTGCTAATACACAATAGGATGGCTTTTGAATGTAACAGCAACTTATGTTGAAATATTTTGCTTGTATTTTTGGAGTGTGAACATACTTTCTAGACTCAAAATACTCAGACTTCGTGGCTCCCACATTAAAAAAAAAAAAAAAAAAAAAAAAAAAAAGAATAAAATTATTCAAATGGCAAAGCTGCAAAACTGCAGTTCAAAGGGTGAAACTTTTCCAAAGTGATCCAGTAATAATAAATGTAAATTTTGCAATGACCACTTGGTGTCATCTAGTCAGAGCTAGTTTGTTAGCTTCTTGTTCTAGGCTTGGGTTTAGTGTTAAGAAAAGGGCATTTAATCTTGATTGGGTCTTTGAGACCTCAGGGCCCAACATTAGCTTCTCTTCTCTCTAGGTGAGATCCTCAGAGACAATAATGTGGAGTCATTGGAAGACCACCAACCTTAACAATTGCAGTCTCTCTGTAGAAGGCTGCTTTGGGGTAGACCGTAGTGTACTACTTGACTCTTTTTTGCCCTGATTGTGCAGTTATTTTGCTGCCAGAACCTCTGGTGAGCAGAAAAGGTGACTACATCTTGCTCGGTCTATCTGAGTTCAAAACCTAGGGTTCAGTATGTGGTAGGCAGAGCTATCAGGTGGCAACAGAGGAACCCTAAGGAGCTCCTGTGAAAATCTGGCGTCAGCTCAGAGCAGCTCCACTCACTCAGCTGCATGAGCAGGCAACTACTTTGCCAGTTTGCCAGTAAGAGGAAAACACTCAGCCCTTGAATGAGACAAACAACTCCAGGTCTCCTGGGGGGAAGCACATTTTTCAAGAACTCCTTGTGAGGTGAAACACTTGGAATATTATTTCCTTTGTGAAGGGCCTCCTCTGTTCTGCTCCCCAGTCGGGTGACCCCGCAGAGAGTTACACCCAGCAAATGGGTAATTGCTTGGAACTTGGAACTGAGGCTTGGAAAATCTTTTTGTGTTTAAATCTGTACCTAATCAAACGTCTCCTCACTCTGTGAGGAGAGAGGATAGAGCAGAGCAGGAGAATATTTCACATTGGTAGAAATGAAAGATAAGGTTTTGATCTGATGGCTTTGCTGACCACTTGCACTCAGTTTGCCTTGTGTAGGGAGAGAATGCTTTTGTAAGGGTTTTAGTTGTTTCATATATCAGTTTGCTGTATTAAATATTTATGATAATTACCTTTGCTGCTTATAGACTAAAGAATCTGATTGTGTTTGGTGCTGTTTACCACAAAAAGTGTAGTACTGCGAGCATAACGGAACTGTGAAAAAACAAAGGTAGAAATAAGGACAATCAGTAAAATGCAACAACTAAGTAGTTGGTTACTTACCAAAAAGAAAATAGTCATACCTTGTCAGCACTGTGATGATCTACTTATTCAAAGATCAGACTATTGCAAATTGATGTTGACAAACTGGGGGGAATTCACATAAAAGAACTCAAACCACTGTTGGACTTTAAGGACTGGTTTATGGGAAAGATTAAAACAGCTAGATAAAGCCTGTCTGTCTAGGTACTTGCATAACAGTAATGAATGTGATGCCTTGTGCTGCGTGGTGAAGGACTTGGTGGAAGCCGAGGGAATCCAGTAACCACTTACAAAGTTGTAGGCTGCAAGCACAAAGAAAGGAAAAAAAGTGGATGAGGATTGCTGAAGGAGCACAAGTGCTAAGATGAAAAGGAGGAAAGCTCATGCCAAATGCTAGGAAATACTACCTCCTGTGAGAACTGTTAGTCTGTGGTCAGAAGTTATACAAAACCCCTCAGTTGAGTCATTTAAACTGAATTGTAAAAAACACTCTAGAAAATATGCTGTATTGGCACAGGGTGAGCCTAGATCGGGAACAACCAGTCTACCCCCTGGTTTCCTTTTCCCAAGGGCCATTTACAGCTAGCATGGTAGATATTATTTGACTTAGCAAGAAGCAGATTGCATATGGCTGGAGGCAAAGAAGGAAAATTTAGTGCATGGATTTTGTGCATCATGAGAGCTCAATGGCTGCTCTGTGCAGATGCAGTAGCCCCACGGGCATGGCATGCGGCGCAGACAGGCAGGAACTAAGCATGATACAAGTTTTGTATCAACTCTGATGTGATCTGCCCTGTATCACTGTTCAGTCTGTGTGAAGAGGAGCTGCTGGAAGATAAAATGAAGCCAGAGGGCTGCCCAGCCACTTCTGTTGATTCTGTGTTCATGTTTCATGATCAGTTGTGCCTGTGCAAGGGAAGAGATAGGCAGCAGGCTCGCCAAGACATGGCCCCTCACTGCTCTGATGTGCATCACCTCTCTCTCCTGCCACCACAGGTTTCCCACATTTTTGGCCAAGGAGAAAAACAGTTGGGCCTGTCTCTGTGAGCATGTTTCCTTCCTGTCTTGCATTGGTAAGGCAGGAGTTACAGGGATTTTGGGGGAAGCTCTACAACAGCTGGAGAGTCTGGAAAAAAGAAGCATTGCTCTGTTGGGAGCCTCAGGACAAAGGTGCAAAATGAAAAAAATTATGTGCTGTGTAGAAAATGCTAGGTCTACTTACTCACCCTGCTGAGATCAGGGTCTTGGTGGTGCTCATCATGCACACTCCATTGCTCCTGTTTGCTTCTTCAGGAGACTGCTCCCTGTGGCTTTATCCCAACACGGTCACCACAGTGCTGACCCGGCCAAAGAAATTTAAAAACAGTTTCTATAATAAATGCCATCTTTACTGTGAGGGAAAATGTTATTAAGACTCAATCCTCAATCCATATTTGTTGGAGAATTTTATTTTTCATTTCATTTACAAAGGCCACCTCAGAGTATGCTTTGAAGAGAATGAGCATGGGTACTCATTTCCCGATAGTACTTATTGCTCCATCGCAGCAAAATGACCCCAAAGGCATAAATAATTAATTCTTTAAGCACTTCATGGGTTTCAATGTGTTTTTTATTCACAGTACTCCTTTGAGCTGCAGAAATGCTTTATCTGATTAAAGATGTTATTTGTATTGTTCTGATGGGCATGGGATGGGCTAAGCCTGGTCTGAAGTGAAGAGTGGAGGGACTGGAGTTGTCCTGGAGAGAGAAAGGGGAGAAGGAGAGGGTAAACCTGAGGAAGAGAGATAGGGGAGAGTTGTGCCTTCTGCTCATGCTAGCGGGTGCTCACCTGGTGAAAAAAGGGAGGATCCCACCAGCAGCAGCTGGTCAAGTGATGCCAGGCAGCAAACCCAGCTTCTCAAGCCTGTGCCACCAGTGGAGCAGACCACAGGGCTGCTATTGCCAACTGTTGACATCCAATCCCAGCCCTGTGCTAAGCCAGACCTTTGAAAAAATAGCCAGACTCTTTCTTTCAGAATCTACCTA